GAGCGTCATTAGGAAAGAAGTGACCATAAACGATCTTCTGTCATTCAGTCTCAAGTTCAACAAGACAGCATCATACGGATATTCTACAGGAAGGGATGTGGGGCTGCTTTCAGCGACATCACTCCCAAAATTCAGTGACACTGAATCCAACAGACACTCATGTCAGGCCAGCCCCCACCCACATCCTGGAAGGACAGACATCAGTGGAACATAGTGAAGGAGTCTCGTTCTACTGGGGAGCCATCCTTTAAAACTCATCTAAATATTTTTGAATCTGTATTGATGTTTGACCCTATGGGATGGCAGGATAGCAGAACCGATCAGATCTGGGATCAAATCCTGGCTCTGCGATCGTGTAGCTCGATGCCTCTGCCCAAGTTATTTAACACCCCCAAGCTTCAGTTCCTTCCTCTGTCAAGTAGGGCTAATAACAGTATAAACTGCATAGGATTAAATGATAGAAATTATACATGGGACATGAAGAGCTAGCCGCAAGGATAATGGTCTCTGAACAATATCCATGGCAATTTCTATAATTTCTGGGAGAATCAGATCCAATCATCTGGTTGCTCCAAACCTGACTGATCACCCAGGGAACTTTTTAAAACATAACTTCCAGGTTTCCACACACCTGAGAAATTCTAAATTGGGCCAGTGTGGGGCAGTACCCAGGAACCTGTCGCTCCAAGATATACGTTTACAGTGTTTTACAGCGCCTAGTCTGTAGTAGTCACTCAATAAATACAGGCCTCATTCCTGGCCTGGACCACTGCAAGTCCCCTAGCCACTCACCTGTGTCCACTCTTATCCACGTGTCCACCTCCAGAAGCCAGCGGAATCCTTTGAAAACGTGAAATCATGTCACATCACTGACTCAAACCCTCTACAACTCCCCATTTCTCACCAAATAAAATTCATGAACGAGGCCGTACATCAGCAGCTCCTGGGCACACACTAGAAATACCTAGTGAGCTTGTGAACAATGCACAGGCCTGGCCCCAGACCAGCAGAATCAGAATCTCCAGGGGTGGGGTGCAAGTAGGGTCTTTACACAAAACAGAGGACACCCAGGCACAGTGGCATTTCAGATGCCCAATGTATAACTTCTAAGTATAAGTATGTCCTGGGGAACTTGGGGACATATTTATACTTAAAAAGTATCTATTTCCTGTATATCTGAAATTCCAGTGTAACCGGGTATCCTGTATTTTCATTTGCTAAATCTGGCAATCCTAGGTCACATATTAGCCCTTCTAAAAAGCTCACAGTGGGGCTTCCCTGGTGGCTCAGTGGTAAAGAATTCGCCTGCCAGTGCAGGAGACACGGGTTCGATCCCCGATCAGGAGGATCCCACATGCTGCGGAATGGTGAGGCCCGTGAGCCACAACTATTGAGCCTGTGCTCTGGAGCCCAGGATCACAACCGCTGAGCCCAGATGCTGCAGCTACTGAAGTCCAAGTGCCCTGGAGCCCGTGATCTGTGAGAGGTCACTGCAGCCAGAAGCCAGCCTACCGTGACTAGAGGGTGGCCCGCACTCACCAGAGAGGAGCACGTGCGGCAACGGAGACCCAGCACAGCCACGTCCATAAATTAAGTTATGTGTTAAAGAAAGCTCACAGTGAAACGGCCCCCATCGCCTCTCTAAGCTCATTTATTCCCTCTAATCCCTCCACTCCTTTTCCTTTGAAGAGTCAGCCGCCTTCCCCGTCTCCACAGCTTGCAGTTGCTGTCCGCCTGGGATGCCCTGTCTGTGTCAGACACCAGCAAGCCTCCTGACCTCTGCAACCCTCTCCCAGGGTTCCTCAGCCCGCCTTACTGTGTCTTCGGAGCAACCACACGACATGATCTATTATTTGTTCGGTTGTCCATCTCCCTTTCCCCATGAACTAGACTGTCAGCTCCATGACTTGTTGGAGACACTTTGGTTCTCTCCTCGCTGTCTCTGCAATGCCTAGAACCCCGCCAGCTACTCAGTAAACTCGGGCGGAATTAGTTAACGGGGGATGAAAACACTCTTCCTTCCAGCACAACTCCCTAAACATTCCTTTGGGAGGAACTGATAGATATCTTGGCTGAACCGGGTCTCGCTTGTGGCATGTGGGATCTTCAGTTGCAGCATGGGAACTCTCAGTTGTGGCCACATGGGATCTAGTTCCCTGATCAGGGATCGAACCCAGGGTCCCCGTGCATTGGGAGTGTGGGGCTTGAGCCCCTGGAACACCAGGCACGTGCCAGCCCCTGTAGTGGTATCTTTACAGGGAACGCGAGCAGCCGATGTGTGCTGAGCGTGTCGTGTGCCAGGCGGCATTCAAAGCGCTCCACCTGCATAGCCTCGTTCCACGCTCGTGACAGCCCTTGTAGGAACCGTAATGATCCTCATTTTAAGAGGAGGAAAGTAAATTTTCAACAGCAAACCTCAAAAACCTCCAGGGCATACACCAGAGGGACAATGTGCTTTCTCTGCGCTTCCTTCCTGTCCTTCCTTCTGGGTTAGGTCCCATGTGCCGTTCACTGTTGGGGCGAGGAGGAAACTGGGGTCAGGAGTGGGCACTGCGCAAAGCTGCAGCTGCTCCGACGTCTACAGTCAAGAGCATCTGACACAGGGTCTCTCTTGAACGACAGACAGGGCAAGGCTGTTGGGCAGAGTGGCGCCTGGAACCACAAAGCCGATCTGGTTAAAAAAGACATTGAGCCCTGGAGGGCTGGCTGGAGGGTTTCTGTCCATGTTCACGTCCATGTAGTTATTAATTCTGCAACTGGCAAGGCTCGAGTGCCCAGAGATATACCGCCTATGCACACCCACCTGACCTTCACAATGGCCTCATAGGAAGGGAGAGCTGCTATTCTTTGTCCTGAGTGGCCAGTGAGATGAGGAGACAGAAGCCTAGAACATTCCACAAGATGCATGAGTCACAGGCTTCTTGGAAGCTGGTCTCTGACCCTGATCAGTGCCTTTTCCGTTCACAGCACTGGGCTGTCTTCACCCGGAGTAACAGCAATAACCTTGTGGCCACAGTGATTCACTCCGGCTCATCACTAGTACTGCAGAGACAGGAGACAGACAGGCCCTAGGCTGAGCAGTTTCTCCCCTGTGGAAGAGCAGGATGATGGAGGAGGCTGGGCCCTGCCCAGATAGAGATAAAAGGCCGTTTACTCCTCATTCTCAGTCAAGGAGAACTCCCTGACCACACATGCACAGAAAGGCTCCCTGGAGGTTAAAAAGGGAGGGGGCATCACCTCATAGTGAGTGATGTCGAGTACCCATAAGCCTCTTCCCCAGAACCCACCTTGGCTAAGAGATGAGCACTGATACATGGGAGGGCCCTGAAAGTGACAGTGATACTTGCTCAGTCATGTCTGTCTGACCCCACGGACGGCAGCCTGCCAGGCTCCTCTGTCCATGGGGTTTCCCAGGCAAGAATTCTGGAAGTAGGTAGCCATTCCCTTCTCCAGGGGGTCTTCCCGCCCCAAGGATGGAACCCACATCTCTCACATTGCAGGCAGATTCTTTCCCATCTGAGCTACCAGGAAAGCCTCAGGGAGGATCCTGAAATACACCAAATACAGACTCAGAATCAGGCAAATCAAAATGATTGGCCAAAGAAAATCCAGAAGAAATGCCCCATTAAAGTAATTCAAACTACAGTAAAGGTGCAACTTAGCAACTCTTTCTGAATATTGTACTCTTTTTCTCCTCCTAATAAACACCTCACTTGTTTAACTACTTTCTATCTTTGTGGGAATTCTTTTCTGCACAGCCAAAGGGCCAGGGCCTTGTCACTGGCCACTGGCCGACCTAGTGGCTAGGATCTGGTGCTCTCATCGTGGGGACGTGACCTCAATCTCTGGTCTGGGAACCCAAGCCCTGCTTCAAGCCACTGCAGGCCGAGGCCAATCGAGATCACTGTGGCTTCTGCACAACCTTGACCTGAGCCTCAGTTTCCTTTCTTGTAGAATAGGTGTGATGAGAATTCACAGGATTGCTAGAGGAATAAGATCCACTCACGCTTTCATTATGTGATTCTGAACCAACTACTGGGTTCAGAATCATTCTCAGTCCCTGGGGCCGGGCACACAGCAGAGGACTGACTCTCTCGACTTCTAAATTCTAGTGGGGACGGCAGACAATAAACAGAAACGGGAAGACAAACCAAAACAGTTTCACAGAGTGAGAAGCACTACAATTGACATAAAACAGAACCGGAAGCCTGGAGTGGGATTCCCCAGGCACTTAAACAGTACCTGGCACACAGTAGGTGTTCAGAACTATTTGTTCTCTGACTGGACTTGCTGGGTGGACAGGAAGACTCACAGATGCCACCCTAAGGGGGTGGGGGGGGGGGCACCGGCATGGAGAGCCAGGGCGCAGCACCAGGCAGTTTAGTTCAGTTCAGTCACTCAGTCGTGTTCGACTCTTTGCGACCCCGGGGACTGCAGCACGCTAGGCCTCCCTGTCCATCACCAACTCCCAGAGTTTACTCAAACTCATGTCCGTCGAGTCGGTGATGCCATCCAACCATCTCTCATCCTCTGTCGTTCCCTTCTCCTCCCGCCTGCAATCTACAGTGCCAGGCAAGGGAACCTCAAAGGCAAAGAAACGGAAAGGAAACTAGACAGCGTGGATAGATCTCAACACTGTGAACTTCACAGGGCTGTCTAACCAGGCGGGAAGGCTGTGTCCGTGGCCGGCTCTTTGATTTCACATCATCTGCTTTTGACGACGGCCCCCCGCCCCCACCCCGGGTGGCCGCGCGGCTCTCCGCGTGGGGGTACCGAGAGTCCGGCAAGCAGTTTCCGCAGCGCCAAACCCGCGAGGGCGCCGCGCGGCGTCCCCGAGGGCGCACGGGCCCACGGAGTGAGTTTCGCGCGGGGCTGGCGGGTGGCACTGCCTGAGCCGGGTGCCCCAGGACTCGCGCCGGGGCCCGGAGCCCGGAAGCACCGGGAGCGCGCGGGGCGGGGCGCTGGGCGGCGGGACCCGCCGGACCCGCGCGCGGGGCGGGGCCGGAGCAGCCCGGCCCCCTGGCCTTCGCCGCGCCGCCACCTCCAGGTAAGGGGCGCGCTCCCGCCCGCGGGAGCCCCCGCCCCGCGCCGCCCGGCCCGCGGGCCCGTTGCCCTCCTCCGCCCCCGACGCGGCCCCCGGTGCCAAGTGCGCGGCGGCGGCCCGGCGCCGACCCGCCCGGAGTCGAAGTCGCCGGGCGGCTTATTGCTTTCCTTCAGAGCCGGAAGTGAGCTTAGAGCCACAGGCCCTGGCCCCAGATGGGGAAACTGAGGCCGGGCCTCCCCTGGGAAATGAGGACTCTGGTCCGGGCCAGGGAGGGGGTGGGGCTTGCCCACCCCAAGGTCACCCGGGGTCGCCGGGCTTCCCCTTGGCTCACGGGGCCCCTCGGGCGCTCCTCACCGCCCCCTCTTCTTGTCCCTGCAGCCCTCTGAGCTCTCAGCAGACACTTAAACTGAGAATTACCGCCGGCGCGGGGAGGGAGGAGAAAGTGTTGAGAAGAAAAGGCCCCGGGGTCACAGGGAGCCCGGGGGCGTCCTCCCTGTTGTTAGAGGAAGGATGAACTTCTGCTACTGATTTGCTAACTTTGGGGGGATTTTACACCTGAGTAAGCTGAGGCTCAGAGAGAGGAGGGAATTTCCCCAAGACCATGCGAAGGAGGTCGGGATAAGAGCCTGGGTTATAAGAGCCTGCTACAGCGCCTGGCACAGAGGAGGGCTTCACACACGCGCACCCCTCCGCTCTCCTCTCCGCCCTGCTCACGGTGGCGCAGAAGGCAGGACCACGCCCGGCTAGGCTCCACTTGGTCTGGACACCGCTGCCTAACACGGCGTAGGGGTCAACAGTGAGTTCTCTGTTCACTAACTCGGCGTTCATTTGGGGGCAGAAACAGGAAGCCCTTTAAGCTTTGGGGGAGTCCACCAAATATATATGGAACCAAATAAATATCCAAGGTTGACTGGGTATGGTTTAGGCGCTGAGAATACAGCAGTTAGCAAGACAAGAGCTGCCTTGGGGGATGTGGGGGAGCAGTGGTGGGGCAGAGTACATGCCCGAGAGTGGAATAAACCCTGCCCTTTAGTCTGAGCTGGAGGAGGGATGAGGAGGGAGCCCTGCAACCTCCCCCATGGGGAAGTCTGAGAAGAGGGCAGGAAGAGATGAAAGCTCACAGCTCCAAGTCCTCTGAGTCTCTGGCCCTGCCCGGCCTTGTTTGGGATGCTTTGCCAGCCTGAGCTCCCCCAGCCCAACCTCCAGGGATTTGGGGAGGAGGAGCTGGGTGGGCAGAGAGTGGGCCTGAGCTGACCTCAGAGTCTGGAAACCTAGCTGTGTGATCTTGGATGTGTCATTCTACCTCTCTTGGCCTGTTTGCTTGGCATACGGCGGTAGTCACGATACTTCACGGTGTTGGTGGTGCTGTACTTCGGAAGTCGTGAGCAGGGTGCAGGGTGTGGCTCACATCAGAGGCCTTGCTGAAGCAGGCGTGAGCCAGGGTGTAGTGCTTATTTATAGTGTTTATTTAGAGACTCTAGTGACCCTGTGGATAACCTGAGAGCTCTCCATAAAGAATGTAAGAGGCAGAGGGAGGGTGGCCAAGGTGAAGGCTGGGAGCCTGAGCTTCCCTGCTCTGCCATCTCAGGAAACAGCGCGCGTGTCACTGTCCGCATTTCAGCTTTCTGAACCCTTGCAGTCACATGTGCTGCATCACCCAGAGGTGGCTCAGGCCCCCAATCTGCGGCTTCCGAGTCATCCCGAACAAGCTGAGTGACCTGTCTGTGCCTCGGTTGCCTCACCTGTGCCTCACCTGTGAAATACCTGTCCCCAGGGTTGTCATGGGGACGAAAGATGCCAAAGCCACAAAGGGCCCTCTATAGAGCTGCCCCCGTGGGAGCCTTGCCAAGGCCTCGGAGTGGTTGGCTGGCACAGTTGGCTGCCTTGGTGGCCGTGGCCGAGCATGTACCAGAATGGCACCGTTTAGACGCTGGGGGTACAGCGGTCGACAAGACGCATGCTGCCCTGGTTGGGGTGGCGGGGAGGGAGGTTCATCAAGGTCATAGCCTGGAGAGTTTCTCGTGAGCCTGAAATCATCTTTCCCTGCGCTGGTACCACGAGGCTACAAGTGGCTAGATCAGCCTCCGGGCCCACACGTGGGACCTGAGAAATGTCATTAGGTGGTTTATCCTCATTCTGTCCTTTATGACCTGATGGTTTTGTGACCATTGCTGTACATTTTAAACTGTGGCAGCAGATGAAATGGGGGGTGGGGGCTTGCTGCCTTGAATATGTTACAGTGAGCAAAAGGGGGCTAGAAAGGGTATCCAACCCACTTCCCACTTTGCCACCCTCCTCTTGACAGCCAGACCCATCCGATGGTACCACCCTCTGCTCAAAACCGTTCTGTGGCTTCCTACTTTCTTAGGGTAAAGAACAGAAACCTCAGCATGGCCCATAAGGCCCTGCCGCCTGGGCCACACCTACACCTGACCTCCTCCTCCAGCTGTGTCTCAGACCACTTTATCAGTAGCCCCCTCTGCTCAGGCACGCTGCTGCCTCCTGCCTCAGGGCCTTTGCACAGGCTCTTCTAGACTGCTTCATCTCTCCTTCATCTCTCTTTTTCCAGGTTAACACCTCATCCATCAGATCTGATCCCAACCTCGACTGGCATTCCAGGTTCCCCAGGCCACAAGACTTCCCCAGGTATGTGGGAGGTTTATGTTAAAGTGTAATTATACTTGTGTATAATTGTGTAAGATATCACTGGGATTAATCTCAGCTACCACCCGGTCACACTCCCTTACCTCCAACTGTAACCCTCGTGATTCCTGGGACTGCTCGGAGTTTGCTCTGAGATGCTCAGTAATGAAATCTCTTTAGGAGTAGCTCTTGAGTGCACATGTGGACTTGCTTTATCTAAAATTCTATTGTCCTTCATCAAAAAAGAAAAATTACAAAAGTCACTTCTTAGCTGTGAGGGTAGGTGTTCATTCATCCATTCTCTCACCTGCTCTGCCAGGCACTGTTCTAGGAGACGTCAGGGAACGTAACACACAAGCCCCTGCCCTCACGGAGCCTTCTCTAGTGAGGGAGACAGACCACAAAGAAATAAACCTATCATCCACTGCCAAGTCGTGGCAAATCAATTAAGAAAAGTCAGACAGGGTCTGGTGGGAGGGGGCAGCGGGGGCACCTGATACCTTACACCTGCAGAAGGAGGAGCTCTGCTGAGGAGGTGGAAAAGCACAGGTGTCCTGGGCACCATCCACTCCCCCCCTGACCATCCTGTTGGGGAGACAGGCACGTCGGCAACCAGCCTTCATGCCTGAGAGGAGGTGAGGCCCCCCAGGGAAAGCGTAAGGAGCGCTTCAGAGGTGGCAGGCTGGACAAACCCAAGAAGCCTCCTGGCAGCCCCTGAGACCCCTGAGTAAAATGGAGATGGATTTGGGTCTCAAGTCACATGCACCCGGGGAGGGTATATCCTGATCCTGCATTTGCCAGCATTTGTGGCCCTCCTCTCTATGAGCCTCAGTTTTCTCATCTGTAAGATGGGGACAGTGTTAGTCTCTTCCTCGTAAGGCAGTGGTGAGGCTGAAATGGGATCAGGAGAGTAAGTCTGCAGGAGATCTTCACTGATTTTTTTTTTTTTTTAATTTATGGTTGCATTGGGTCTTCGTCGCTGCCTGCAGGCTCTCTCTGGCTGCGGCGAGCAGGGGCTGCGCTCTGGCTGTGGTGCATGGGCTTCTTGTTGCGGTGGCGTCTCTGGTTGTAGAGCACAGGCTCAGGGCACATGGGCTTCAGTAGTTGTGTGCAGGCTCAGTGGTTTTGGCACACAGGCTTAGTTGCTCCTCAGCGTGTGGGATCTTCCTGGAGAAGGGATCAAGCCTGTGTCTCCTGCCTTGGCAGGTGGGACTCCCGGCCACTCGACCACCAGGGAAGTCCCTGATTTTATGTTTAAGCTGTGCTTCTGAGGAAGGGGTCTTCTTTGGTAGCTCAGATGATAAAGAATCTGCCCGCAGTGCTGAAGACCCGGGTTTGATCCCTGGATGGGGAATATTCCCTGGAGAAGGGTGTGGCAACCCACTCCTGTCTTCCTGCCTGAAGAATTCCATGGACAGGGGAGCCTGGTAGGCTGCAGTCCATGGGGTCACAAAGAGTCGGACACAACTGAGCGACTAAGGCTTTCACTTTCACTTTGAAGAAGGGCATTATTTGGAGATGAGGATCCACACCAAGAAAAAAAACAGCTTGAGCTGCATCCCAAGGTGGGAAACCCAGCGTAGGCTGGAAGGAGCAGGTGGTTCTGCTTGGGAGAAAGCTGGCTAGAAGAAGGGAAGTGGAGGGAAATAAAGTTGAAAAGTGGGGTCATGACTGAACCAAACTTGGATCTGTTCACTCGCACAGACCAACCTGCTGTCAATCTACTGAGACCTGTTGTGGTAAAGGAAAAAGTGCAGCATTTATTGTACAGAGGCAGATCAGGAGTTCAGGGCAGCCGCTCTCAAAAAACCCAAATCCCCTGATGGGTTTCAGGCAGCGTTTTGTTTTTGTGTTGATGCATAGTCGATTTACAGTGTTGTTAGTTTCTGGTATAGAGTGCAGTGATTCAACTATACATACACACACATAATTCTTTTTCATATTCTTTTCCATTCTGGTTTGCTGCAGGATACTGAATATAGTTCTCTGTTTTATACAGTAGGACCTTGTTTATCTGTGTCTGTGAGTCTGTTTCTGTTTCATAGAGAAGTTCACTTGTGTCATATTTCAGATTCTACATACAAGTGATATCATGGAGTGTTTGTCTTTCTCTGACTGACTGACTTCACCTAGTATGATAGTCTCTAGGCCATCCATGTTGCTGTAAATGGCATTATTTCATTCTTTTTTATGGCTCAGTAGTATTCCATTGTGTGCATTTAATGCATCTTCTTTATCCAGTCATCTGTTGATGAGCATTTAGGTTGCTTCCTTGTCTAAGCTATTGTAGATAATGCTGCTATTACATTGGGATGCATGTATCTTCTTAAATCATAGCTTATTCTGGATATATACCTGTGAGTGAGATTGCTGGATCATATGGCAGCTCTGTTTTTGGTTTTAAGGAGCCTCCGTATGGTTTTCCATAGTGGCTGTGTCAATTTACAGGGAAGCATTTTCTTTTTCAGGGAAGCAGCTTTAAAGACCAGCTGAAGGACGGGAGTCAGAGGTGTGTGGTCAGCTTGTGCACAAGTCTCTGATAGGCTGATGGTGCGGTAACAGGGTGGTATCCCAGAGGTTAACATTAGCAGTCCTCAGGCTGCAGGAGGTCTGGGGGCTGTGTTCTCGTGGTCATCGAGTAATTAAATCTTTCCATATGATAGGGATTTTATCATCTGTAAAACAACTCAGGGAACATGTATCAGATACTGTTACCTAAGGACTTCAGGGAAGAACTAAAGATTCTTTGACTGCCATGTGACTGATTCACTGTTTAAATTACCACTTCTCCTGGCCAAACTGCTACTTTGGTCATGACACAGTCCTTTCAATCATTAATTCTTGGCTCCGGGGAGGCCTGGGAAGCTATAGCTTTTCCATAAACAAGAGGCAGATAGAGGACATGAGGGAGAGGGTCTGTCACATAAAGGCCCCATAGGTCCTGCTCAGTTCAAGATGGAGCTAGTGAGATCCTAATTTGGCAGTTTTCAAATTGCATTTGAAATGTTTTGGGCCACCTCAGTGTATAAAGTAGACCGAAGAGGAGCAGTGTAGGCTGTCCTTGAGCCAAGACCCAGGTACACGTTTAAATTCCACATCACTTGTGTAGTGACCTTTCCGTTTATTTCTCAGGGCCTCTTTCTCCATCTGTAAAACAGAGATAACAGCATCTGCCTTATAGAATTACTGGGAGGAAGTGAGATGGAAAAGAGTGGTACATGGCTAACATTTACCAAGTACTAATAGTTATAATTTTTTAATTAAAAAAATTAATTGTGATGAAATACACAGAACATAAAATTCACCATCCTAACCATTTTTGCAGTTCAGTACCGTTAGGAATAATCATGTTCTTTTGCAATCAATCTCCAGACCATTTCAACTTGCTAACCTGAAACTCTGTACACTAAACAACAACTTCCCCTCTCCCTCCCCAGCCCCTGGCAACCCCTACTTTACATTCTATCTCTACGATGTTGGTTACGCTAAATAGCTCGTATAAATGGAGCTATACAGTGTTTGTCTTTCTGGGACTGGCCGATTTCATTCAGCATAATGTCCTCAAGGGTTATCCATGTTGCAGCGTGTTAGAATTTCCTTCTTTCTTTTAAGGCTGACTAATGTTCCATTGCATGTATATAACGCGTTTTGTTTATCCTTTCATCCACCGATGACCACTTGGCTCGACTCCGCCTTTTTTTGTTGTTGTTCAGACACTGAGTCATGTCCAACTCCTTGAGACCCCATGGACTATATCATGCCAGGTATCTCTGTCCTTCAGTACCTCCAGGAGTTTGCTCAAATTCTTATCCATTGAGTCAGTGATGCCATCCAAGAATCTCATCCTCTGTTGCCCCCTTCTCCTCCTGCCTTTAATCATTCCCAGCAAAAGTGTCTTTTCCAGTGAGTTAGCTCTTTGCATCAGCTGGCCAAAGTATTGGAGCTTCACCTTCAGCATCAGTCCTTCCTATGAGTATTCAGGATTGATTTTTTTAGGATTGGCTGGTCTGATCTCCTTGCAGTCCAAGAGACTCTCAAGAGCCTTCTCCAGCACTACAGTTTGAAAGCAGCAATTCTTAGGTGCTCAGCCTTCTTTATGATCCAACTGTCACATCCATGAGTGGAAAAACCACAGCTCTGAGTATACTGATTTTTGTCAGCAAAGTGATGTCTCTGCTTTCTAATACACAGTCTAGGTTTGTTAGAGCTTTTTTTCCAAGGAACAAGAGTCTTTTAATATCATAGCTGCAGTCACCATCCATAGTGATTCTGGAGCCCAAGAAAATAAAATCTGTCACTGCTTCCACTTTTCCCCCTTCTATTTGCCATGAAATAATGGGACCAGATGCCATGATCTTAGTTTTTTTTAATGTTGAGTTTCAAACCAGCTTTTTCACTCTGCTCTTTATTTCCTCTAAATTAAAGGCCCTTTAGTTCCTCTTTGCTTTCTGCCATTAGAGTGGTATCATCTGCATATCTGAGGTTGTTGATATTTCTCCTGGCAATCTTGATTCCAGCTTGTGCTTTATCCAGCCAGGCATTTTGCCTGATGTACTCTGCTCTGCCTTTTAGCTGTTGTTAAAACTGCTGCTATGAATATGGGTGTACAAATACCTTTTTGAGACTATGCTTTCAATGCTTTTGGTATGTAACCAGAAGCAGCATTGTTGGGTCATTTACTGTTACAATTTGAAGGTGGGCGTGGATGGCTGCCCCTGTGTCTTCTCTTGCCCCTCAGAGTGAGACAGGTCCCTGGGACCCTGTGGACCAGTTTGAAAACCAGCAAGTCAGATGAACCACTGCAGACATTGCCATTTCTCCCCCTGCCTTGCCAGGCAGATTTGCCTCTTAAATTATATTTTGGTTATCCCTAGTGGAAACACCCTTCATTCAGCAAATGTTTATCGGTTCCTACTATGTTCCGCGTGGGCAGAGGGAGATAGACAATAAGCAGTGAACATAAACGAGGAAGGGATAGGGTGTCAGATAGTGAGGCACGCTTTGGCCCAGGCAGAGGAGCCAGTTCACAGGGATTGGGGTGAGAGGGGGTGGCGTGGTTTCCCTGAGCTGTGAGACTTAAGCCAAGACCAGAAGGAGAGACGGGAGCTGACCGTGTGGTTATCTCGGGGAAGAGCATTTCCGGCAAAGGGAGCAGCCAGTGCAAAGGCCTTGAGGTGGGCGCATGCCTGGTGGGGTCCCCTGGCGGCCACGAGGACGGTGTGTCTGCAGCCAAATAAGAGGAGGAACTGGGAGGAGCCAGCCGGCTGCACATGGCCCGCGGCTCTGGGTGAGAAGGGAGTGCTGGGGGTTTGGAGCAGGGAAGGGACGTGATCTGACTCTCGTTTGAATGCAGCTTTCTAGATGCTGTGGGCTGGATAGCTAGGGGTAAGGGCAGAACGAGGTGGGAGAGGAGGCTCCTGCCAGAGAGATGGTGGCAGCTGGTACTCTGCTGGGAGTCAGGGAAGGAGGGGGCGATGATAAATGAGGACAAAATGTCCGACAGCCTGGGCGTCCGCCCTCGAGCACGCTGTCCCCCTGCCCGCCCTGCCCCAGCACCCCACCCCTCCTCCAGGCTCTCCCAAAGCCAGGGTGGGCTGGGAGCTTGCCCTCCATGCCAACGCCCTCTTCCTCCTTCCAGTCTGTACTGGGATTGTCCAAAGCCCTGCGGGTTCTTCTGTGTTGAAACTGTTGCCTGGACATCTCCTGAGATGGTGCAGTTACCACCGACCTCCAGTTTAACTTCCCGATAGAGGTATAAAATGAATGGGTTTGTCTCCTAAAATGCTGAGAGTGGGGAGTAAGCTGGGCCTGCCTAAGATCCCCACTTCTAGGACCATGTCAAGACTGTCTTGTTGTGTGTGTGTGTGTGTGTGTGTGTCTGTCTGTCTGTGTGTGTGTGTGTGTGCGTCTGTGTCTCTATGTGTGTCTCTGTGTGTGTCTGTGTGTGTGGGTGGGTGTGTCTGTGTGTGTGTGTGTCTATGTGTGTGTCTGTGTGTGTGTCTGTGTGTGTGTGTCTGTCTGTCTGTCTGTGTGTGTGTGCCTGTGTCTCTGTGTGTGTGTCTGTGTGTGTGTGTGTGTGTGTGTCTCTGTGTGTGTCTGTGTGTCTGTGTGTGTCTGTGTGTCTGCCTTGAACTATAGTCTCCAGAATTTCTGGCTTAAGAACAGTGCTGTAAGCTCCGTTTGTTGCAAAGAATTTCTTTGGCCCAGTGCTTTTCCTTCTCCTTGGGTCCAGAATAATTAGTCCTCAGCCTTCTTCTGACACTGTATTTATTTCTCTAGTAATGGTTATTTTTAAAATAGGTGTATATATTATCCATTTATTTATTAATTTGGCTGCATGGGGTTTTAGTTGCGGCAGACAGGATCTTTAATTGCAGCATGCAAATTCTTAGTCATGGCACGGAACGTTGGATCTTAGTTCCCCAACCCAGGATGGAACCCGGGCCCCCTGCATTGAGAGTATGGAGTTTCAGCCACTGGACCACCAGGGAAGCCCTACTGATGGTTATTTCACTGTAAAAATTCGCCTGTGGCCACTTAACTCAGAAAAAGAGGAAGAAAGAGAGAAAAAGAACATCACATCCCAGCTGCACCCGGCTCCCCTACCCCCAATCCCCCTGCCAACACACACACATCAAAGTTTAAAAAAAAAAAAAGGCCACAGTTGGCTCGCGTTTAAGAAAAACAAAAGTTCATTCTTACATGGCATCTTCTAAAGACTAGATGATGCAGAACTTCCCAAACCATGGATTGAACTTGTGCCCCCAGCTGTGGAAGTGCAGTCTTAACCAGTGGCCCACCAGCGAAGTCCAAAGGCCTTGGAGTTTTAATGATGATTTAAAGGACTTTCAGGGCTTCAGCGCCAATGCCCAAGACTCAGGTTTGATCCCTGGGTCAGAAAGATCCCCGGCAGGAGGAAATGGCAACCCACTCCAGTATTCGTGCCTGGAGAATCCCATGGACAGAGGAGCCTGGTGGGCTATAGTCCATGGGGTCACAAAGAGTCGGACACGACTGAGCGACTAAACAGCAATTTCAAGGATGATATTGACCACATCTGGTTTTTCTCCTAAGTGCTAACTTTGGGATTTTTGGCGCTACAAGAAGAAATCCCACTTCATCATTTATGGCGTCCATCAAGAAATGTGGGTCGAGCACCTCCCGTTGGTGCCTATAGAACCCAGGGCAGATGCTTGGGAATGGCCATCTCCCCCTACTACCAACAAAAATAACCCAGCCTGTGTTTTCTTTGGTGACTGATAATATGACCTATAAGACGAAAGTCATGATCATGGTGCATCAAAACGAGTTCCCGTTCCAGACTGGCCGCATCCATCCCACCCCTGGGCCACGAGTCCAGCCCTGGACCAGTGTCCTCCCTGGGCACCTTGCCATGGGCGTGTTGTTCCCCTGAGCGACGGGGCTCTCCTAGGGCAGAGGTGGACCTTTCTCAGGGTTCCTTGGGATCTTCATGTCACCTGGGCAGGGACAGGATCCCCAGGGAGTCGGGACTTACTCCCTGCATCAGCGATGTGCTGAGCCCAGGGTGCTGCTGGACTGGCTCTGGGCGCCCTAGGTGGCCCTGGGCACAGAGGCACCTCCAGCCCTGACCGGCGGGGTCTGTTTCTCACCACAGGAATCCCGCACCCTTTCGCCATCTCTCTCAGAATCGGTCCAGCTTCCCAGACGTACTTGAGACTCTCAGTTCAGCTTTGGACTGGACTGGATCCTGATCCCTAACCAGACCAAGGAGTGGAGGCCACTGAGGACCAGTATACACAATCCGGGTGGCACCTCCCACCTCCAACCTCAGCAGCCACCATACTCCCTCGATTGAAAGGGTTTGGGGCCCATCCCATCCTACTGGCCAGTCTATGGCCTTGGAGCCCTGGGCTCCTCCATCCCACCATCACGGATGGCTGAGAGTTGTCCTTGTCCATCTTGTCGATTACAAGACCAAGACCTGCTGGTCAAAGGAATGGGACTTAATCGTGACCTCACCCCCGCTGGCTCAACTGGGCCACATGGAGCCAGGGCTTTGTGAGATAAAGCACTCCCCTTCTAGTGATCAAAAACACAACAATTTTTAATTAAAAAATTTTTTTTAATTATTAAAGCTCTAATAGAGACTTCCCTGATGGCCCAGTGGTAAAGAATCCACCTTGGAATGCAAAGGACTCGGGATCAATCCCCGGTTAGGACCCAACATCCCACAGGCCCCAGAGCGACTAAGCCCACTGCACATCCCATGTGCTCTGGAACCTCTGCCCCACAAATAGAGTCCACACGCCACAGTGGGAGACCCTCTGTGCCACGGCTAAGACCTGACTCAGCCAGATAAATGGGTAAATTTTTTTTTAAAAAAAAGCTCTAATAAGCTTGCAACAGAAAAATGTTAGAAATCCAGAAAAAAAGAATAAAAACCAATTACTTCTAGGCCCACAGCCCTGCCACCGAGAGAAAAGAATCATTAACACTTTTTTTTAAGTGGAGGATAATTGCTTTACGATTATGTTGGCTTCTGCCATACGACAACTCGAATCAACTGTAAGTGTGTGTGTATATATCCCCCTCCCTCTCAAGCCTCCCTCCCACCCCTCTAGGTCATCTGCGAGGGCCAGGCTGGGCTCCCTATGTTACATAGCAGCTTCCCATTAGCTGTCTGTTTTACATATGGCAGTGTGCATGTTGGTAAAGAACCTGCCTGCAATGCAGGAGACCCGGGTTCGATTCCTGGGTCGGAAAGATCTGCTGGAGAAGGGATAGGCCACCCACTCCAGTATTCTTGGGCTTCACTTGTGGCTCAGCTGGTAAAGAATCCACCTGCAATGCGGGAGACCTGGGTTCGATCCCTGGGTTGGGAAGATCCCGTGGAGAAGGGAAAGACTACCCACTCTAGTATTCTGGCCTGGAGAATTCCATGGACTGTTCAGAGCTGGACACGACTGAGTGACTTTCACTTACGTATGGTAGTGTGTACGTCAGGATCATTAACATTTTGGTGTATTGCCTTGTGATCTTTTTGCTCTGTGAAACATTTTTTAAAGACATAACTAGCATCATATTGTGTATCCCATGGTGTACTGTTAACCACCTCCCTGGAAATGGATTCCCTTCGTTTGTGGCGCTTGCCAGGTTCTGTGATGCAAACAGCCCCTCTGTGGCCCGTTTCGGGCTCCCAGCATCACTGAACATAGAGCTGGGAGAGATGCCAGTCTGGGCTGACATCAGCACACCGCATCATGGTTTAGAATCATAAACCACTGGGGACTTCCCTGGCAGTCAGTGGTGAAGACCTCTCCTTCCAATGCAGGGGGTGTGGCTTCAATCCTTGGCTGAGGAGCTAAGATTCCACATGCCTCCAGGCCAAAAAATCAAAACATAAAACAAAAGCAGTATGGTAACAAATTCATAGACTTTAAAATGGTCCCCATCAAAAAAAAATTTTTTTTAATCTGTTCGTTCTGATCTTATAATCAATACACAGTCATTATTGAAAATTCATAAAATTTAAACATATAAAGAAAAGATTAAAATCATACAGAATCTTCAGCCACCACCCCCCACCCGCCCCACTCCACCCTAGTGTACAGACGGTCACTGTCAACCACCCTGATGTAAGTCCAACAGGTCCCCTCCATGCAGGTAGAGACATAAACAAAATAAGTGCCTTCAGAGTTCAAAAGCAATACATCTCTGTGACACTGGGGAAATCCAGAAAAGTCTCTGGTATGCAACCATCCAGAGATCCCTGTGATGACTGTTCTTCTAGACATTTTACTTGTCTATCTTTTTAACATGGTTGGACTTGTGGCTTGAATCTCCTGATTCACAGTCATACTACATTCTTGTGCCTCGGAAGGTAACATCCAGGGGAAGGGTGTTATCACTGTTAATTGATTTAAAACCCTTTGGATGGTTAAGAGTCTGCACTTCCACTGCAGGGGCCTTGGGTTCAATCCCTGGTCCGGGAACTAAGGTTCTGCATGCCACGCGGCATGGCCAAAATAATTTTTTTTTAAAAAAGAGAGAACTTACAGAAGCTTGAAGAGGCAGAAAATATTCTGGCTCCTTGAACATAGAAGATGGCCCATTAGGATGAAGCTCAGATTGTTTGAAGTTTGGGTTGCTGAGCATCTTTGGGCATCTTTGGGCTGAGCATTGTTTGGATCACTGAGCATCTTTTTGGTTCTTCAGAAACACCTTCTCTCCTCTCCGCTGAGCTTTGGGATGTCTCTGGGTAATTCCAGATGCTGGGCCCTTGGTCCATCTGCCTTCCTCATCTGATGCTCGAGGGGAGGGTAAGAAGGGGAGTGCCTTTCCAGAGAGAATAACCAGGAAAATCTAGCTTTTGCTTATGCCTAAAATACTAGTTCATTCATTTGTTCATGTCACATTCAATTTCTGAACACTTACTCTGGGGCACACAGACGGCCGGTTTCTGAACACTCACTCTGGGCACACAGACGGCCGGGCTCTGAACACACTCTGGGCACACAGACGGCCGGGCTCTGAACACTCACTCTGGGCACACAGACGGCCGGGCTCTGGGCACACAGACGGCCGGGCTCTGAACACTCACTCTGGGCACACAGACGGCCGGGCTCTGAACACTCACTCTGGGCACACAGACGGCCGGGCTCTGAACACTCACTCTGGGCACACAGACGGCCGGGCTCTGGGCACACAGACGGCCGGGCTCTGAACACTCACTCTGGGCACACAGACGGCTGGGCTCTGAACACTCACTCTGGGGCACACAGACGGCCGGGCTCTGAACACTCACTCTGGGGCACACAGGTGGCCGGGCTCTGAACACTCACTCTGGGGCACACAGACGGTGGGCACCGGAATACTGATTCAGAGGAGACCCAGTGCCAGCCGTCTACCTCCAGGCCACCAGGCAGTGGGTGCAGCACCCGTGGCCCAGGGTGTGAAGACTTAGCACCGACAATTCATGCCAAGAGCCAGAACTGCACTCGATGAACGATCGATGCCTGCAGACCTGGGCGGCAAAGGCCAGAAGTAGGGTCAGAGTTCCCCTGAGCCCCGGGGCTCACCTCCCTCTTTCCCACAGGCCTCCTCGGGGTCCCACACCCTATGGACCCACGGGCTGGTTTTTCTGGTTTGTTCCTCCAGGGCAACTTGCATATTTCTCCTAAGAACTTCGAAGAAGCTGGACAGCCTGTTTTCAGACTTAGAGAAAAGGGAAACCCAAGGTTGTTTCTTGAAATGTGGGTAAGTATTATATAAGGTTTCTTTCTTTTCACAACCCTCGTTGTTATTTAAAATGATCTTTCTTTTTCAGTGTTTTCTTTCCATTTTCGTTCAAACTCATTGTGTCAAATAGAATGATCTTAATTTAAATGTTTTGAGTTTACGTATTGTCTGACTCCCTGCTGCAGTGCATCTCCATGGTGGAAGGTGGTTGTCTGTGTGTCTTAGTCACTGCTGGGTCCCCAGCATGTAAGACAGCACCTGTACATATTTATTGTACTTATCTGGTACGTGTTTGGTAAATTAACTGATTGATTTGGAGTGGAGGTGAATATTTATTTTGGGTTTATTTGAACTTAGTTAAGTTGCTCAGTCGAGTCCGACTTTTGCAACCCCATGGACGGTAGCCTACCAGGCTCCTCTGACCATGGGATTTTCCAAGTATGAGTACTGGAGTGGGTTGCCATCAAAGTTCTCAAATCCTATAGCAATGTCCCACTGCTTTTTTCTTTTTAATTGATTACAGACTCACAGGCAGTTGCAGAAATACCACTAAGAGCTCCAGTGCGCCCTCACTCAGCTCTGCACGTGGCCCTGGCCTTCACGGTTAGGTTGGACTCCTCAACTAGGCGGACTTGGTCCCGCAGGGTGTAGCCCCTGGCAGCTTCCCTCCAACCTCATTTCTTCCCTCCCCCCCGCACACCCACCCATTGTCCAAGCCCTGCCTACACTGAGCATCCTTTTGGTTCCTCAAAAGCATCTTCTCTCTTCTCATTTTGGGACTGACTCGTCTCCTCTGCCGGGAACATTCTCTACCACTGACCCCACCCGTCCGAGGGCATCTTCTCCAGGAAGCCAGCTCTGGGCTCTCCTCTGTCTGTCTGTCTGTCTGTCTGTTTCCTCTGCCGCAGCATTTATCCCACTGGTTGGTCATCGCTTGTTTACCTGTCTGTCTCCACCAGTCTCCTGTTTCTCCTAGATTGCCTTCTCCCGTCCATCTTATCTCCTGCAGGCCTCGGCTGGGATGGTCCCTTTCGTCTGATACCATCGTCACCCCCTCCTTCCTCATCACTTCATATTCCCCTCACCCTGGTTGTTCTCCCCTGACAGTCACTGCCCAACTGAATATTTATCTATTTATTTACTCACTTACTTATTGGGCTTCCCTGGTAACTCAGATGGGAAAGAATCCACTTGTAATGCAGGAGACCTGGGTTCACCCCTCAGGTGGGGAAGATCCCCTGGAGAAGGCAAAGTCTACCCACTCCAGTATCCTTGCCTGGAGTATCCCATGGACAGAGGAGTCTGGCGGGCTACAGTTCATAGAGTTACTTTCACTTATTATTTATTACTTATTTAGTGGACTGTTAAGAGCATGGATCCTGCATTCAGTTCCTCTGAGTGGAAAAATCTCAGTTCCACCACTTAATAACTATGTGACCATGAGTAAGTTACTTAAATTATTATAATTATGCCATATTGGTATAGTATTGCCTGTCTCCCACCTGAATGTGAGCCCCTTGAGGGCAGGAAATTTGTCAGTTTTGTCCCATGATCTGCCCCAAGGCTGCCCAGAACAGGGCATGCTGCATCATATACTTCTTCATTCATCCAGCAAGTAGCGATTGAACACCTACCATATTCCACAGCTGGCTCAGAAAGCTCGGGGTACAGCAGTGAAAAAACAACCAGGGGCCTGCCTCAAGAAGTTTACATTCTACTTATGTACACAAGTCAACAAATAATCTAAAAATATATTACTTAAGATGGAAATAAGTATTATAGAAATAGAACAGGGGTGCTGGGTTAGAGACGCATAGCTTGGCGTGGGGGATCAGGGAAGGCTTCTCAGAGGAGGTGACATTTGGGCTGAAGCCAGAATGATGTGAAGGACAAATGTAAAGTGTCCCGGGCTGGGAGGACAGTAGGTGCAAAGGCCCAGGGGGGAGTATTCAAATACGCCCAGCTTGCGTATTTGAAGAGCAAAAAGCCAGCCAGTGTGGCTATAGTGCCATGAACAAGGTGGGCATGGGGTATACAAGCTGAGGTTTAGAGGCGGGCAGAGGCCAGTTCAGAACTGTGTAGACTTCCGTGAAAGGACTGGCCTTCATGCTGAGGCGATGGGAGGCCTCTGGAGGACTTTCAGCAGGTGAGTGGCATGACCGCTATGTATGACAAGGCCGCTCGGGCTGTTGTGCAGAGAATGGATTTATACGGACGTCATGAGTGTATTTTGTTGAACAAATGAATGAACGAATGGATGAATGGATGAATTTGGCCTGAGCTGAGTTCTTCGTGCACTCAGCACACACTCCTTCCCCCATGGTTAGAGGCCGGCCAGCTTAGGATTCTCTGATTAGAAGGCTGTTTCTTCTTGAGCTGAGAGCTAACATGGGCTTTCCCAAATACAAGCCCAATAAAATGCCGTCTTGGGCTCCTCTGGGTACGAGCAGCAGTTACTGCAGTCTCCAAACGGCACTCGGTGGTGCTGACTAAAGGCAGTCGGAACTGCCAAGGCTGCTGACACCAAGGCCGGGCACTGCCTTGGCATGGTCTTAGTCCCTGGTTTGTTGCTGTCTCCTCTGTCCACTGCCATGGTCTGTGCTGATTATCTGGGCCAGAGAGTTCAGTCCAGTCGCTCTGTCGTGTCGACTCTCTGTGACACCATGGACTGCAGCATGCCAGGCCTCCCTGTCCATCATCAACTCCCAGAGCTTGCCCAAACTCATGTCCATTGAGTCAGTGATGTTATCCAACCATTTTACCCTCTGTCGTCCCCTTCTTCTTCTGCCTTCAATCTTTCCCAGCATCAGGGTCTTTTTCAATGAGTCAGTTCTTCGCATTAGGTGGCCAAAGTATTAGAATTTCAGCTTCAGCATCAGTCCTTCCAGTGAATATTCAGGACTGGTTTGGCTGGTTTGCTCTCCTTGAAAAGCTATGACCAACCTAGACCACATATTAAAAAGCAGAGACATTACTTTGCTGACAAAGATCTGTCTAGTCAAAACTAAGGTTTTTCCAGTAGTCATGTATGGATGTGAGACTTGGACCATAAAGAAGGCTGAGTGCTGAAGAATTGACGCTTTTGAACTCTGGTGTTGGAGAAGACTCTTGAGAGCCCCTAGGACTGCAAGGAGCCAGGGAAATCCACTTCAGACAGATCTCGAACTTGGGTTCCTGGAGCAACCACTGGAGGCCAGTCCTGCTGGGTGACATTGGACAAGGTCTTAACCTCTCTGGGCCTCAGTTTCTCCATCTGACATAAGGGGAGGAGAATCCCTGTGCCTGATGCAAAGGAGAGAACATGGGGTTTGGAGCCAAAGTCTGGCTTGATTTTCATCACATACTTATTGTGTGACCCTGGGGAAATCAGTTGACCGCTCTGAGCGTACAGTTACAGGAGAGAATCATAATGCCTCACATGCTACTTAACCTTCCATGGTAATTGTAAGAATTAAAGGGATTTAAAGTGTTTTGCAAACTATTACCTGCTGTCCAGATGTTGGTCTGTGGCTTTTAACTAGCTCAGAGTTATTTTGAAAAACAGATGCAATATTAGTTGCCTACCAACTTTTTAATAATCCCTCCATAGATGTAATATTTTGAGAACAAAAGATTTTATTGCTCAGCTAGATGAGAATGAATTAGTGGGCCAAACTCAGTGGTATATGGGTATTAGACTAGAAATCTCTGGGCAGTAAGACGAATGTTTAAAACAGAGATGGTGCAAAACAAAAAATAACAAGAGATGGTGGGTGATGTGCCTAGCTAAGATGTCTAGCTTTGGGTCCTTTTCTGCCTTTTTCTGGCCTATGCCCAGGTCCAGATCCTTCTCCTCTGAGCCTGTTCCCCCAGGAACAGGGAGAAACTGGACACTGTGTTAGTACCTGTCTTGTAGAGCCGGCTGAGACCGTGTGTGTTAAAACTGCAGTCCTGGGGCCTGGCATCCAGCAACAGCTCCATTTTGTTGCCTCTTCCTCTTATTTATGCACTTTTGCTGTGTGCCAGGCACTGTGCTGAGCATGTATTTATTGATTATTTTGTACATTTATTTCTTTAGCGTTTATGTAGTATGAGCCCAGTGCCAAGCTCTCTTTTCAGTGCCGTATAGATACTGACTTGCATGGCGGTGTTGTTGCTTGCACAGACCTTCCAGACACCTACTATTATAGTCCATTTGCAGGTGAAGGAATCTAAGTGCAGAAAGATTGAGTTTCCCAAAGTCCCACACCTATGAGAAGGAGCCCCTTGGGTTCACACCGTCTGTCTGGTCCTGAGCCTGCATTTGTATCCACAGTACCTGTGGTCACGGCTGGCCACCCTTCCTGGCACCCCCTCCTAGGGCCCTTGGAGGCCTGGCTTGGCTTGGTTTGTCCCCACCCCGCCTTCCCTCCATGCACTTCAGCCCCTGGAAGAGAAGAAGGGAGTAAACGAGGGGCAGAGGGAGGGCAGGGAGACCTTACTCCCTCCCCGCCCCCTTTTGTGGCTGCGCTGGGTTTTCGTGGCATGCAGCCTTCTCTCGTGTGCCACGTGGGCTCCCAAGAGCTCGGGCTCAGTAGTTGCGGACTGTGGGCTTAGTTACCCTGCAAAATGTGGGGTCTTGGTTCCCCAGTCAGGGGTCGGACTCAAGTCTCCTGTGTTGGAAAGCGGGCTCTTAGCCACTGGACCACTAGAGAAGTGCCCCAAATACACACATAAGTGCACAGCTCAGCGGACTTTAAGATGCATTTATACCAGTGTAATCACCACCTGGGTCAAGATACAGAACATCGTTGTCACCTAGAAGCCTTTCTGTATCCCTTCTGAGCCAATGTTCCTCCCAGTGGCAGCCCTGCTTCTGACCCTTCTCACTATAGATTGGTTTGACCTGTTCTTCCAGTTCATATAAACGTAATCCTACAGTACATACTCTAGTGAATGACTGTCTGCTTATCATTAAGATTCACACATGCTGAAGTCTGTGACTCAGACTTTGTTCTTCGCTGCTGTGTAGCGTTCCATGGTATGAATAGACATAGGCTGTCCATTCTATTGTGGGTGAGCGTGTGGGTGGTTTCATTTAGGACTATGATGAGAGAAGTTTCTCTGAGCATTCATGTACATGTCTTTTGGGGGACATAAGCCCTCGTTTCTCAGGAGTGGAATTGCTGGGGTGTAGGGAAGACATTTGTTTAGCTTTAGTGGATAAAGTGAGACCATTTTGCCCATGGTTGTAACAAGTTACATTTTCACCAGCTGTGTATGAAAGTTCTGTTTGCTCCTTATTCCCTAGTATTATAGGTCTGTTTCAGTTTTAACCATTCTGATAGGCGAATGGTAGTGTCTCATCAGACTTGGGCTTTTTTTCCTTTTAAAATTTGTTTGACTGGGTCAGGTGTTAGTTGCAGGATCTTTAGCTTCAGCATTCGAGCCCTTGGTTGCAGCATGTAGGATCTAGTTCCCCAACCAGGGATTGAACCCAGGCCCCCGGCCCTGGGGGAGTGGAGTCCAAGCCGCTGGACCACCAGGGACGTCCCTCACTGGAGTTTAATTTCCGTGTCCTCCGTGGCTTATTACGCTCCTGCCGGTACGTTTGCAAGTTCTGTCTGTCTTTTATCTTCAGCAACATTTGGTGTAGTCAGGTTTTTAAGTTTAGCCATTCTCATGGGTGAGTAGCCGTGTCTAACCAGGGTTTTTATTTCTGTTTCTCTGATCCATGATGATGTTGAACACCTCTGCGTGTGCTTATAGACCACTTTTGTGAAGATGCATGATATCTTTTGTGAAGTACCTATTCAGGTCTTTTGCTGATCTTAAATTTGCTTTGTTTCTTTTTCTTAGTGACTTGGAAGAGTTGTTATTATTCTGGGGATACTAAGCCTTTGTGATACACACATTTGAAAATATCTCCCGGAGACCTGAGCTAAGATGGCAGAGGAATAGGACGGGGAGACCACTTTCTCCCCTACAAATTCATCGGAAGAACATTTGAACGCTGAGCAAACTTAACAAAACAACTTCTGACCACTAGCAGAAGACATCAGGCGCCCAGAAAAGCAGCCCATCGTCTTCAAAAGGAGGTAGGACAAAATATAAGAGATAAAAAGAGAGACAAAAGAGCTAGGGACGGAGACCCATCCCAGGAAGGGAGTTGTAATAGAGGAAGTTTCCAAACACCAGGAAACCCTCGCACTGGCAGGTCTGGGGGAGGTTTTCTAATCTCAGAGGGCAACCTAACTGGGAGGAAAAATAAATAAAACCCACAGATTACATGCCTAAAAGCAACTCCCAGCAGAAAAGTACCCCAGACGCCCGCATCTGCCACAAGCAAGTGGGGGCGGAACGGAGAGGAGCGGGCTGCATTGCTTAGGGTAAGGACCGGGCCTGAGTGCCCTGAGGGCAAGTGGAGGGAGCTTTTGTGAGATGGCAACTTAAACTGTGGGATGGCAAAAGAGAGAGAGAAAATTAACCGGCCCGAACACACTGCCGGCCGTTCGCAGAATAAAGGGACTGAGCGATCCCAGAGAAGAAGCTAGCCGGTGGCGGACTGGCCCATCCCCCACCGGAGGCAGGGGGGAGGGGGGAGGGGAAAGGGGCAAACTCGGCCCCAAAGACGGCATCCCCTACCACCCTGCAAACAGGCCTCCAGTTTCTAATCAAAGACTTCCTGAGATTCTGGATGGTCGACATCCGCCGGGAGGGTCGCGGCTAAATACTGGGTGCACGCACCCGACGGCGCAAGCCGAAACTGAGGCTGGGGCCGCGGAAGGGAGAAGGCGCGCCGCACCCGGGGAGAGTGCGCCTGTCAAGCTCCTGGCTGCCTGAGCCGCTGAGACGGGGAAGGCACAAAACGCAGGCGCAATCGAGTCCGCGCTTTTGTGGAGTACCCGAAAACTGGAGCCACACGCAACGCAGGGCCCGCTCCACATAGAGCAGCCGGGAGCCTGAGCAGCGTAGACGGGGAGAGCACACACCCGTGAGCGGGACAAACCCAGTGTGGCCGGAACACGGTGAGTGCCATCCACACAGAGCGGTATCTGTCTGCAGCGCGCCGCCCTCCCCGCAGCGCGACTGAACCAGCGAACCTGAACAAGAGACCACCTCCTCCCGCCTGGGTCAGGGCGGAAATTAGACGCTGAAGAGACCTGCAAACAGAAGCCAAATAAACAAAGGGAACCGCTTCAGAAGGGACCGGTGCAACAGATTAAAGTCCCTGTAGGTAACACCGACTACACCGGAAGGGGCCTATAGATACCGAGAAGTGTAAGCTGGAACAAGGAGCTATCTGAAACTGAACTGAACCCACACTGACCACAACAGCTCCAGAGAAATTCCTAGATATATTTTTACCTTTTATTTTTTTAATTAAAAAGATTTTTTTTTCTTTTTTTTAATTTTTTCTCTTTTATTTTCTTTTAAAATTCCCTATTACTCCTCCATTACTCCTTAACTTTCATTTTCATTTTCATATATTTTTACTATTTTTTAATTAGAAAAAAACTTTTTTTTCTTTTTTCTCTTATTTTCTTTTAAAGTCCTCTCTTAACTCCTCTATTATTCCTTAATTTTCATTTCCATTTCACTATAACCTTGCAAAAAAAAAAAAGAGGGCCTATTTTTAAACCGAACTTCATATATATTTCTAAACTTTTTTGTGTTTTTGTTTTTAATATTGTATTTTTAAGAATCTAACCTCTACTCTAGATTGTTAATCTTTGTTTTTCAGTATGTGATATAAATTTTGGGCATTTAAGAAGCCAATATTCAGTTCCCATTTTTACTCAGGAGTGTGGTGATACTCTCCCACTTTTGACTGTCCATTTTCTACCTCAGAACACCTCTATTCCCTCCTTTCCCCTTCTCTTCCCAATCCAATTCTGTGAATCTTTGTGGGTGTCTGGGCTACGGAGAACACTTTGGGAACAGACAACTGCGTAGATCTGTCTCTCTCCTCTTGAGTCCCCTTTTTCTCCTCTTGAGTCCCCTTTTTCTCCTCCTGCTCACCTCTATCTCCTTCCTCCCTCTCCTATTCTTCATGTAACTCTGTGAACTCTCTGGTTGTCTCTCATGGTGGAGAATCTTTTCACCATTAACCTAGAAGTTTTATTATCAGTGCTGTATAGTTGGAAGTCTTGAGACTACTGGAAGAATAAGACTGAAATCCAGAGGCTGGAGACTTAAGCCCAAAACCTGAGAAAACCAGAAAACTCCTGACTACACGGAACATTAAGGAATAAGAGACCATCCAAAAGCCTCCATACCTACACTGAAACCAACCACCACCCAGAGCCAATAAGTTCCAGAGCAAGACATACCACGCAAATTCTTTAGCAACGCAGGAACATAGCCCTGAGTGTCAACATACAGGCTGTCCAAAGTCACACCTAACACATAAACCCATCTCAAAACTGACTACTGGACACTCCATTGCACTCCAGAGAGAAGAAATCCAGTTCCACCCACCAGAACACCGACACAAGCTTCCCTAACCAGGAAACCTTGACAAGTCAATCATCCAACCCCACCCATTGGGTGAAACCTCCACAATAAAAAGGAACCACAGACCACCAGAATACAGAAAGCCCACTCCAGACACAGCAATCTAAACAAGATGAAAAGGCAGAGAAATACCCAACAGGTAAAGGAACATGAAAAATGCCAACCAAGTCAAACAAAAGAGGAGGAGATAGGGAATCTACCTGAAAAAGAATTTAGAATAATGATAATAAAAATGATCCAAAATCTTGAAAACAAAATGGAGTTACAGATAAATAGCCTGGAGACAAAGATTGA